CCGATTCTTTATTTTGGTGTTCCATCAATATGGTGTCAATTTATTGGAGGTAGGAAGAGGGACGGGTGCCTTAACACAAAGGAAATGACTCTGGGATGCAGTTTCTCAGATACAAAGTGTGATACAGATGAACCAGGTTTAAATGATCTTTATTTCAAATCATGGGTGGCATGTGACCTACTGACCTGGAAGTGGTAGCTGAATGGCATTTGTGAGATGCCCTTATATTGCTTTCTTGCCCTAATTCTTACGCAGTCTGATTACCTTTGCCACTGCATAGTACTCTGAAGAATGGTCATAATTTCCCAGCTGTCCCAAGGCATTTTATAAGAACTATGAAGTGGTCAAGGTCTTTTGCTTAATTTTCCTTTCCTAGCTAAAAATCATTGATGTGCCTGACACCTTTGCTGTGATTGTTTTTCCGCCTACACAGGAATAAGGAAGTTGGCATTGTAGACAATGTCAGGTTATGCAGTAATGACCGTGGCACTGGGAAATTCAAGAAGGCTTGTATCACTGTGAGGGTTCCCCGAAATCCAACTGTTGGAGACAAATTTGCCAGCCGCCACGGACAGAAAGGTATCCTGAGCCAGCTCTGGCCAGTTGAGGATATGCCATTCACAGAGAATGGGATGGTTCCAGACATCCTCTTCAACCCTCATGGCTTTCCCTCCCGTATGACCATTGGAATGTTGATTGAGAGCATGGCGGGGAAGTCGGCAGCACTGCATGGTGTCTCCTATGATGCCACTCCCTTCACCTTCACAGAGAAGAAGTCTGCTTTGAAATACTTCGGTGAGACTTTAGTGAGCGCAGGTTATAACTTCTTTGGGACAGAAAAGATGTACAGCGGCATCAGCGGCCTGGAGCTGGAGGCAGAGATCTTTGTGGGAGTGGTGTACTATCAGCGCCTGCGCCACATGGTCTCGGACAAGTTCCAGGTGAGAACAACAGGGCCCCGAGATGCTGTCACCAACCAGCCTGTCAAGGGGAGGAATGTGGAAGGTGGGATTCGCTTTGGTGAGATGGAGCGGGATGCTCTGCTGGCTCATGGCACATCTTTCCTGCTGCAAGACCGCCTGTTCAACTGCTCCGATGGCTCCATTGCCTACGTGTGCACAAGCTGTGGCAGCATGACATCTCCTGTGCTGGAGAAACTGCCCCACTCCTCTGTGGCAAGCAGCAGGAGGTACTCCTGCTCAGTCTGCAGCGAGGTGGACTCGATTGAGGTTGTCCCTGTGCCCCATGTCTTCCGTTACTTTGTGGCAGAGTTGGCAGCCATGAACATAAAAACAAAGCTCAAGGTGGAGTAGCTTTGTCCTCAGCACGGCAATGCTGCTGCTTGGAGGAGGCACGTGTCATCCTGCCCTTGCCCCTGAGAGTTTCAAGTGTTATGTCAGTCAGTTCTCAGGTTCTTCAAATTTTTGCAAGATTAATTTGACATTTGTATTGAGATGGGGTGGTCACCAAGCTGTGTGGAGAGGAAACATGGCTCTGTTGAAGTTAATCTGCATTTTCTAAAGGCTCACTAACTATCAAAAAGTGGCGTATGGAAATCAAGCAATATGCTGCTCCCACTAGGCTCCTGGTTTGAGAGCGGTGGGGTTCTTTGTCCTTTAAGTGCTGGCTGAAGCTGCAGAGATGAAGAGGTCATAAAACAGCATGAAATGTGCATGCTGAAAATGACAAAAAAATAGTTATATTTTGTTTTTTGAAGAAGAATCCTTGAAAAACCTATGCCTTAATGATGGCTGTGTGTTAAAGTGATTGGACATGTTTTGTTTTGCTTTATTGTCATACATGTGCCTTAACCCACGAAGAAGAAGGCACAAAGTTCTGCTGCATGAAGCCACAGCCTTGACTGCAAGTAAGCACGGCTGCCCTGTCAGTTGTGTCCTGGGATTGTTTGGTGTGGCCAAGCCCAGCATCTGTCTTGGTGCAGCACCACAGTGCTGGGGTTGGGTGTTTTTTTTTTTTCTGGTTTGCTTGTCTCTGGCTGAAGCAGAAGAAAGCAGAGGCCTTTCCAGCCTGGCTCCGACCCTGAATCGCGCTGGTGCAGTGTGGACACCATGGGGCGGGAGCTCATCATGCCTCCCTCAGTGCACGGCAGCCGCTGCCCCACTGCCAGCCAGCCCTGTCCCAGGCGCCCTCCGTTCCCCTCCACCCCCCCCCCGCCGCAAGGCAGAGCTGGTCAAGAGTTCTTCGGTTCCTTTCTACATCACCTGCCGTCAGCGCCGTGCTGGGGCCGGGGGTGGTGCTCAGGGCCCGGCGGGGCCGGGGCGGCGCTCCCAGGGCTTGGTGGGCGGCGGCAGGCGGGAGGCGGTGGGGGTGTCCCCCGTGGGCGAGGCGCGGGGGCGTCTCACGCCCGGCGGCTCCTGCCCGCTCCGCACCATCCGCAGCACCTCGGCCAAGGAGGCGGCGGGCGGCGGGGCCGGGGCCGGGACCGGGACCCGCTCCATGGCGGCGTCGGGAAGGAGCGGTGGGGTGGGGCGGGGCGGGCCGTACCACCGGCGGGGGGCGGGGACGGTACTAACTGCGGCGGGGGGAACCAGCCCCGGCGAGGGGCGGCGCAGCTGGTGCCGCGGTTGGGGGCTGAGCCCTCGGCAGCCCCATGTGCCGGAGCCGCCATGGAGGTGCCCCGGGTGCTGCTGGCTGCCGCTCTGCTCCCGCTGCTGCCCCGTGAGTACCCTCCAAGTAGCCCCAGGACAGCCCCGGGGGCGGATGGGCCTGATGCCAACCAGCCTGTGTGTGAAGAATGAGCACCGCCGGGCTGGCAGCCGTGCTGGGTGGGATGTGTGAGGGATGCAGTACCCCTAAAACCCTGTCTCTCCCAGTTGGCAGGGCAGCCATGCCGCTGCCCACCCTGGCCCCACCACTGAGCATGGTGGTGGCCGGGCAGCGTCGGCGGCTGGTGGTCTGTGTGGTGAGCGACCTGGCCCCCAGCTCCGGCCACGCTGTCTGGATCTCCAGCGGGAATGGCAGCGTCCTGCCATCCTTTGCCTACGGGGCCTCTCAGGAGGATGGTGGCACCGTCTGCTCTGTCTCCCTCCTTTCCAACGACCTCCTGGCTGAGAGAGAACTCGCCTGCCATGTTGGGGCCAACAGGACCTCCCCGTCCCACAGCTCCAGCCCCATCCACATCACGGGTACGACCCTGCTGCCACCCCTTCTGCCTGCCTTGCCCACTGCTGCCCAACCTGTTGGATGCCCTGGTGGCCCCTGAGGAGGGGGGTGGCAGGGTCTCTGGGAGCAGGGAGCAGGTGTGAGGCCCTGTGGGCCGACGTTACTGCCTCGACTGGCAGGCACCGGAAGGGGTTTGTGGCCTGCCCTGCCGCACACCTGGCGCTGGGCTGCAGGCGCCTCCCCAGCTCCTCTTTCATCCCACAGGCAACGAGGAGGTGGCAGAGCTGTGTCCTGGTAGCACAGCTGGTGAGTCTCTGGCCCTACTGTGGTGGGAATGTCAGTTACCAGGGGGAAAACCCTGCTGGGCTCTTGGCAGGGGCTTGACTGCAGCTGTGTGGTGGTTGGGATGGGTTTTCCCAGTGTGAAGGCACTTGGTGGGAAGAATGGGGATGGTGGATTAGAGCCAGCCTGCCTCAGGGGCAGCATGAAGGTGACATGAGGTGACTATGGCACATGTAAGGCTCCCAAATCCCCCTGAACCTGGCCCTGTGGCAGGCCTGGAGAAGATATGGGGGCAGTGGGGTTTCTGTGGCAGGCGTCACCCCCGCCTTTCCATTGCAGTGTTCCCGGACCATGCCTTGGCAGCTCTGCTTTTGGCTGTTCGGGTGGTGCTGCTGAAGGTCATGCTCTCAGATGCCCTCCTCACCTCTATCCTCCTCGCCCAGAGCTGAGGGGTTGGCAGATGCCTACCTCTGAGGGGTAAGTCCTCCTGTTTTGGCCTAGGGGTGTGAAAGGCACCCAAAATACTGTGGAGACTGGAGAGGGAGGGAGAGACACAGTGTCATTTGGGGGGGTGCTGGGTGGGAATCTTGTGTTGGGGGGACAAGAGAGAGGGGCTGCCATGTTTCTGTGAGTGGCATGGCCCCGGAATTACCTGGAGAATGGCAAGGGAGCTCAAGGTACCTCGGGGGGAAGGTTCCCAGAATTCCAGAGCAGGGAGGGTCCCCGGGGGCGGCCGTTCGCATCGGGGCCACGTGGGCGCTCGGCGGGACCGCCCGGCGGGGCCGCGCGCCGCTGGGATAGGCGGGCGGGGATTGGTCGTGAGGGCCACGCGCGCCGCCGGGATTGGCCGGCGCGGCTCGGTCGCCATGGTTACCGGGTGGGGCGCGGCGGGAGCGCGCCCCGGAAGCGGAGCCATGGCGGCGGCGGTGGCGGGGGCAGCGCTGCTGCTGATGCTGATGGCGGCGGCGCTGGCGAGGGGCGACGACTCGGACTGGGTGCGGCTGCCCAGCAAGTGCGAGGGTAAGCAGGGAGCCGGGGGAATCGGCCGTCGCCGGCTGTCTGTTCGAGCCGGGGGTTTCTGGTGCGGGGCTGCGCCACTGCGGGGTGCCCCTCTGCCCGCCTCCTGCCCGCGGGCACCGGTGTCCCCGGTTCGTAGCTGGGGCTGCTCGTTTCTGCTGCTTACAGTTCGTCTCCGCGACGCTTCCTCCCTGAGCAGTTCCTTGGTTCACAGGCGGTCCGGGGCAGGTCGTGACGGACATTTGCTGTTTGCTGCGGCTTCCTCTGTCTTTGCTGTGTAGGGACATGTGGAGCTGGACGGCAAAGAGAAAATAAAGAAATATGGAGGTCTTTACAAAGCTTTCCCTTCTGAGGAAGTAGCTCTGGAGACACTGATGTCCGAGCTCCGTTGTGACACCTGCATCCTCAGAGAAGCATCAGAGCAAGCACTGACCACACTCTGCTCCTCTTCTGCCCAGGCTTGGAACCTGTGTCAGTGTGCAGCAATAGCTGCGGGCAGCACCTGGATAACTGGATCCAGCAGTGAGCACACCTGGCACGTGTGGAGACACTGCAGCAGGTATGGTGTGGAAAGGGACATCCTCAAGGCCTGAGTCCAGAGGGGCTGCAGGAATGAACGCTCATCCCACCTGAGAAATGGCTGCAGCCACCTCCAGCCCCTGGTGCCAGCAAAGATCGTGCAGGAGGTGCACACAGGGATTCTCAACACATGCATGGGAGCTCTGGAGAAGCCACCTTGCTTCCTGCCACAGGCAGGAAGAGATCCTGCCTTTGGCACAACCCTCTGCTCACATCATTGCCTGGGACAATGTCTCATTGCTGCCGCCAGACAACTCTTGCTGGGGCTTGGCCCTTCTCCTGAAGTGGGGCTTGAAGAAGAGATGGCTCCTAACAAACAGCAGAGGACAAAACTTTCTCCAGCTTCCTGCAATCCTAGTTTTGGGCAAGCGAGGGCCACACCATACCTGGCTTCCACCCCTCTGCATTTCCAGTTGTAAATGCCTGAGATATTTCTCCTGCTCTCTTTTTCTGTAGCTCTGTTGAACTCTTTTTACAGAAGAAATAAAGCTTTTTTTTAGTTCTATAAAAGAAACCATGCCCTGGGTTCTAAAGCTGTTGGTGCTGTGAGCTCTGCTGCGGTGTTGCTGGAGCTCATGGCCTCTCTGGCAGTGGCACAGTCCATAGCCAGCACCTTGTCCTGTCACCCAGCCCACTGGGCCCTGCCAGCTGCTTGGTCCCCAGCACAGTCCCTGTGTCCCCAGAGCACTGAGGGAACCATTACCACATGGGATGTTCTGTGGTCACGAGGAGAAACTACGACCCATGCTGGGACATGCACTGCGAAAAGATCCTGTCCTCTTCAAGAGGAAGAGAGCAGCTTGTGTTGTGGAGGTAGAAGCTTTGGGGGGAAACCTTCAGGCAGAACTGGCCCTGTCTGACTTCCCAGCTGTGCTGTAGTGGCTGGCTTACACTGAAGCATTGTTTTCGGTGTTCCTGTTTCAGGAGTTCTCCAGTGGAAGCAGTTGAGCAGTTCCTGGTTATTTCTTTGAGCAGCCAAGGTGTGTTTTGTGTTCACAGCAGATTTGGTGTGCCTGGCTCCTGGTGCTAGTTCCTGCTGCTGTCCCAGCAGTGTCCTGCTCTGTCCCACTGCCCATCAGAACAGTGACACCCCCTAACTTGCCTGTGCTCTCCTCCCTGCAGTGTGCAAGTACGTGGCTGTGGAGCTGAAATCTGCTTTTGAGGAGACTGGCAAGACCAAGGAGGTGATTGACACCAAGTATGGCTTCCTGGATGGGAAGGGCTCTGCTGTCAAGTACACCCAGTCGTAAGTAGGAGTGGGATGGGGGTCTCCTGCTGCTGTCGCTGCCTGTGGTCTGCAGAGCTGAGGGCTTTGAGAGGCTGTTCCTGGTGGGCCATGCTAAGCCTGAGCCCTCATCTTCATGCAGGGACATACGGTTAATCGAGGTGACAGAGAACATCTGCAAGCGGCTGTTGGATTACAACCTGCACAAGGAGAGGAGTGGCAGTAACAGATTCGCAAAGGTGAGGGCTGTCCTCCAGTTCCCTGCTCCCAAATGTCCCTTGCCCCATCCTGCACTGCCAGGGTGACAAATCCCATCCTCTGGATCCCCTGCCAGTGCCCAGCATCAGAGGCCATGCTGCCCCCCAAGTCAGGTATGGGGTGCTGTCCTTGGTGGCAGTGGGCAGGCCCCTGCCCTCGCCTGCATGGAGGGAACCAGAGGCTGTCTTCCTGTTGGTTTTGGAACCATGTTTGCAGACAGGGACGTGTTGCCACTTGAACTCCCTCCTGGTAATGCTGATGCCCCAGGGGCCTGACTTTGTCTGGCTTGCAGGTTCCTGGGCAGGGTTGTGTGGCTAATACTGGGAGGGGAGAGCGGGAGCCTGGCAGGAGGAGCACCACCTGACCAGGCAGCTCTGCTCCTTCAGGGCATGTCGGAGACGTTTGAGACCCTGCACAACCTGGTGCACAAGGGCGTCAAGGTGGTGATGGACATCCCCTATGAGCTGTGGAACGAGACCTCCGCTGAGGTGGCTGACCTCAAAAAGCAGGTACCCAGACCAGTGGGATTGGCCCTCAGTGGATTCTGTAACCTGGTGGGCTAGAGTAGAAGGGGAGAGAGTCTAAGGGTGCGCTACCGGAAGCAGGGTGTTAGCAGGACCTGCTGTCCTGGTCCTGCTGCACCAGCACGTGTCTGGAGCTGGGCTCTCCTCTCTGCCTAGTGTGATGTGTTGGTGGAGGAGTATGAAGATGTGATCGAGGACTGGTACAGGCATCACCAGACGGAGGATCTCTCCCAGTTTCTCTGTGCCAACCATGTGCTAAAAGGAAAGGATACAAGTAAGTCCTGGCTGCTGCCAGGGGCCATGCAGGAAGGGCAGGGGAACCTTGCCCAGGGCCCAGGGAACCTTGCCTCTCCCTCAGAGCCCACTCTGCCCCTCTCTTCCCCAGGCTGCCTGGCAGAGAAGTGGACTGGCAAGAAGGGTGACTTGGCAAGTGTGGAGGAGAAGCAGAGCAAAAAAAAGAGCGGGAAGAAGAAGAAAAAGGACCAGAAGGATGAGAGCGTGGGAGCTGCCAGCCTCCTGGACACAGGGGAGGCCCTGGAGGAGGGGGTTCAGGAGAAGGCTCCGCTCACCCACAGCCCAGCTGATGAGCTGTAGACACGGACCCCCAGCCCCCGCGGCTGCCTGCTCTGGGGTTTCAACCCGCTGTGCCTGTGGGTACCAAAGGAAAAGGGACTTGCAACCCGGGGGAGACCAGAGCGCCCAGTCCTGCCTTGTCAGCCTGGGTGCCATCCTGCGATTAGGTGTCACGGAGCCGCGGACCCAGCCCTGTTGTGCCTCCCTGCTGGGGGCTTCAGCTCCGGGAGGCCGCGAGTGCTGCCCCGGCGCCGGCTCTTCGCACCGAGCCGGGACTGTAAATAAAGACGTTTTCCCCAGAGCCGCCGCTGCCGGCCCTGCTTCGCCCGCGGTGCCGGGACGGGCGCAGATCCTGCTACGGGCGGGAGCAGCGGTGTCCGCGGGGGGTCCCGCGGGGCGGGCGGGCCCTGACCCTGCCGGGCCGAAGGTCGGGGCCGCGGGGGGGCGCCAGGCGAGCGGTGATTGGCAGGGCCGGGGGCGGGGATTGGCGGGGCTGCGGCGGGGGCGTGGTTTCGGGAGGGGCGCGGTCGGAACGGCGATTGGCGGGTGGGCGGGCGGGGGCGGACACGGCGGCGATTGGCGGGCGGGCGGGGGCGGACACGGCGGCGATTGGCGGGCGGGCGGGGGCGGGGTCTCGCGGCGCAGCGGGGCCGCGAGGGTCGCGTCGGTGTCCGGGTGCGTGTCGGTGTCGGCGTCGGCGGGATGGTGGACAGCGTGTACCGGACGCGGTCGCTGGGGGTGGCGGCGGAGGGGCTGCCGGACCAGTACGCAGACGGGCAGGCGGCCCGCGTGTGGCAGCTGTACATCGGGGACACGCGGAGTCGCACGGCCGAGTACCGCAGCTGGCTCCTGGCGCTGCTCCGCCAGCACCGCTGCCGCTCCGTCCTCGACGTGGCCTGCGGCACTGGGTGAGGCACCGCGCCCCGCGCCCGCCTGCCCTGCCGGGTGTCCCTCCCCGCTGCCCGGGGCTACCCGGGGCCTCGGTGCTCTCGGCCATCCCCAGTGTCCCCGTCCCTTGAAGCCCTCCCCGCCCCCTCAGCTCGGTCCTGCTGACAGCCGTGTCCCCAGGGTGGACTCCATCATGCTGCTCGAGGAGGGCTTCCAGGTGACCAGCGTCGACGCCAGCGACAAGATGCTCAAGTACGCGCTGAAGGAGCGCTGGGAGCGGCGCAAAGAGGAGCCCTTCGACCGATGGGGTGCGGGGACTGTGGGGACCGGGAGAGGCGTGGGGACACTGACATCCCACCCCGGCGCACGGAATTCTGCCCTGTGCCCCTCTCGTGTAGTGTCTCTGGCCCCTCGCAGTGCTCAGGGCCCTTGTCTGGGGTTGCTGCTGGACGGGTGGCCTTGTTGCAGGGTCAGGCAGGGACCTGCTGGTGCCAGCTGCTCGGCAAACCCAAGCCATGGTTCTTGCCTGCCTGGCTGCTGGCCACAGACTAGATCCAGCACCTGCAGGGGCCAGGGAAGGGCTAGGGGGTGCTGGGATGGGGTCTTGCAGGCAGGGGAGGCTGTTGCATGTCCCTTCCCTCATCCATTTCCCTGTGCTGCAGTCATTGAGGAGGCCAACTGGCTCACACTGGAGAAGGACCTGGAGAAACCAGGGGATGGATTTGATGCAGTCATCTGCCTCGGCAACTCCTTTGCACACCTGCCTGACTTCAAAGGTGAGTTGGAGGGAGGGGAGGGGGAGTACCTGTGCACGTGTGCACACCGTCTCCTGCAGGCTGAGAATGTGCCCTAACTCCTGCCATTGGCGGGACAGGGGATAACACACAGTGGAGCTGCTGTGTCATGGTGCATCTCCAGGGAGGCTGAGAACGTGCCCCAGTTCGTGACATGAGTGGGCTCATTGAGTTCCATGGTGGCGGTGGAGGAGGTGTGTGCATTTATGTCACAGCTCTGGCAAGGCTGGAGGCACACCCAGACTTTGCCACAAGTGGGGTGGTGGGTTCCCCATGTGAGGCTGAGAATGTGCCTGAGCTGATGCCATGGGTGGGGCTGTGGGTTCTCCAACCTGAGACTGGGGGGGAGATGGTAGGGGAAGGGGTATATGTGTGTGTCTACATGGGTAAGATGGGGCCTTATGGGCTGTGCCTTGGGGTACAGCCAGTGCCTGGAGACACCACCATTTCCTCCCCAGGGGACCAGAGTGACCACAAGCTGGCCCTGAGGAACATTGCCAGCATGGTGCGGCCCGGAGGTGTCCTGGTCATTGACCACCGCAACTATGATCACATCCTGGCCACGGGCTGTGCACCGCCTGGCAAGAACATCTACTACAAGGTGGGTGGCTGGCAGACCCTGCCCCATCCCAATCCCCTCTGCCCCAGCCCCATGGCCCTGGGTTGGGCAGGCAGCAGGACTGTGCTCAGGCTGGGGGCCACTGAGTCCTCCTGTGGTCTCCCAGAGTGACTTGACCAAGGACATCACCACCTCAGTGCTGCTGGTAAACAACAAGGCACACATGGTGACCCTGGACTACACGGTGCAGGTCCCCCCCACCGAGGCGGGGGCAGACCCGGAGCTGAGGTGAGAGGGGCTGCAGAGGTGGCTCCGCATGGGGGGTGGCTGGCACTGTGCCCCACTGTCCCCGGGCCTCACCAGCATTGCCTCCTTGCAGCAAGTTTCGGCTCTCATACTACCCACACCGGCTGGAGGCCTTCACAGCTCTGCTGAAAGGTGCCTTCCAAGGGAAGTGCCAGCACAGTGTCCTGGGCGACTTCCAGCCCTACACGCCGGGACAGGCTCATGTGCCCTGCTACTTCATCCACGTCGTGAAGAAGACAGGCTGAGGGGGCCATGGAGATGGGACTGTGGTGGCTGAGAGCTGCGAGCAGCTCTGGGGACAAGCAGGGGGTGGGGACATTGCTGAGAGCTGCCTGGGAGATGCTGCTCCTTAATTAAGAACACTTGTGAGAGCTACTGGAGATCATGGTCCGTGTGTCCCTGTACGGGCAGGGTATGGGGCAAGGGGGACAGCCACAGCCTGGGGGAAGCATGGGGTGGGTGCAGGTACAGTTTCACCTCCAAGCCCCCAGCTGCAGGTGCCAGCCATGCCTGTGGTGTGGGGTTTGGGGGGTCCTCTTGAAGTGGAGACAAGGGTGAGCTGGCTCCCAGGTGGTTACACATCCCTGCTGTGCCCACTGCAGAACTGCTCACAGGAGTGTGCTGCAACCTGTTTTCTCCCCTGCACCTCTCAACCAGTTGCTGACTTCTTTGCTTGACACCCCTCAGCCCCATCCTGGGGGTAACCACCACCCCCCCACACTGGGGCTCCCACATTAGAGCCTCCACCAGTGCTTTTGCTGTGGCTGCAGCTCCTTCCTTTTCACCCTGGGGAAGATGTGGTGCTCAGATCCAGTAGCACAGTGCAGTGCGGTCAGGGACAGCTCTGCCCAAACACGTTAAGCTGCCAGAGCTGGAGCAACAGGGCTCCAGGCATGCACCAGCTGCAGCTTCACACGTGGAATGCCACAAGCTGCTAGGGAGCCAGTCCTTTGTGGAGGAGCTCAGTGGGGAGCAGGCCTTCACAGCCACACCCCTTGGCCCAGGGATCCAGCTGCCAGCAGGCTCAGTGCCGACAGCAGCGGGGCAAAGCCCGGCACCAGCAACCCCTTGGGCTGGGGCACACATGGGCCCCTGGCTGGGCGTGAGGCTGCCCCGGGGCTGCACCAGCAGCTGCAGGGACCAGGCGGTGGCAGCTGCTGGCCAGCTGGTGGCCACAAGCAGCTCAAGTGCCATTTTTTTGGCACCCTTGGTAAAGGCTGGGAAGCCAGGCATACACACTGCTGCCATCAGCTGCTGTGAGGCTGCAGAGGGAGGTGAGACAGGACTTGCGGGGGGTCTGGGCCAACTGGTGCTCAGCACAAGTTAGTGCAGACGGGGCAGCTCCAGCCTGCTCCAGCCAAGGTTTGACTATTTCCAAGGCTGAAGCCCTCCCTTGCTCTGTGACAAGTTTTCCTCTTATCCACTGGGAATTTCTTTGCTGCCACTTGCCCCCCTTGCCTCATGTCCTGTCAGCCAGCACCTCCAGGAAGCACTGGGCTCCCTCTGCAGACGGAGCTCAGCTCCTAGCAAAGCAAGCCCCATTCCCTGAAACTCTCCTCATCTACCATGAGCTCCAGCCATTCTAGTGAAATGAGAGTGGTCCCAGTCCAGCTCGCAGATGTGCTCCCCACTCTATCTGCAGGACAGTGTAACATCCAGCCCACTCAGGGGCTTTCAGGGACCTTTCCAAGCCTACAGCCACCATCAGCAAGCAACAACTTGAGGTCAGGCAGTGAATACCTAGTGCTAAAACCTCTGTATTTTATTCAGAGACTACAGTAAGTCCAGGCCAGCTGGAGCAGCAGTGTGCTGCTGCCCTCCAGCCAGCACCCCTCACTGGGGAGGGGCTGACACCCCAACAAGCAGCTGCCTCCAGCCCTGCGCTTTGCTGACCAACTGGATGCAGTTTGTGTCTTGCTCCCCTACCAATGCCTTGTCACCCATGGAGACACTCCTACAATTGCCCACAACCGTGGGATTCAGCTTCCTCCCCAGGAGGAAGTCATCCATGCTCCCAGCAGCCACCATGCGCTGCACCAGATGTGAGGGACCCACCACCCTCCTGGCTGAGCAGTGCAGCATTTCTATCAGGCTTTGGCTCAGGAAACTGCACAGCCACTATTTCCACCCAAGCCCGAAAGAAGGGGGCCCAGGAGGCATCAGAGAAGAGCATGTGGGTGTCTTTTTGGGCCTGTTCTCATCACTCCTCTAGTCCCAGCTTTGCTGAGCATTAGCAGGCTGCAAACTTCTGCTGGATGAGTCTGTACCTGAGCAGCTCCTGCTCAGAGACTGATGGCTGCAACCTCGTAGCAGCCTGCAGAAAGTCTTCCATGGTCAGGATCAGAGCAGAGCTCTCGGTATCCAGCCCTGCATGAGAGAAAGAACAGGAAAGGGCTGAGAGACAAATGCAGGGGTGGCTGGCAAGATCCAACAGCCCCACTCTCCAGCCACCAGAGACTGCAATGAAAACCTGTCTCACTCCTTCCCCCTGAGGCCAACCACTGGAGGTGATAACCACATCTGTAGAAACTGCCTGCCAGCCAGTAACCCAGAGTCCAGCATTGTGGTTCCAAAGCTGACGAGGGTCTTCTCACACAGCCCTCACACAGCAGTGGTGACTCTCCGCTCTGCCCCTGTGCTGGGCTGCTCCAACACGTGGAACAAGTAAGGGCAGGGCTCCTACCTTCCTCAATCCATTCCACCTTGCGTTTGACAGCGCACATCATGGCGTCTGAGCACAGCGCATAGATGTCTGCTCCTGTCAGCTGAGCTGGGCATTTTTCTAGGATGGTGGTGAGATTCACAGAGGGATCCAGTTTAAACCTGCCAAGAGAGAAAAATGCAGGTGTAAAAGCCACATAAAAAACAGACCAGGAAAGCTGTGACAGCCAGTGTGACTGGGCAGGAAAAATCAGAGTACTCATGTTTAGCTGCTTCTGGACTGTGCTCTGCATGCTTAAAAAAAAATAAAAGTTTATTGGTTTTTTTCAACATAGTCACCTCTCAGAAATTTCCCTGCATCAAGGTCTTCTCTGCAGAACCAAAGGCAACTTTGAATCACAGCATCACAGCACAGCCTGGTCTGTCTGGGTTGGAAGGGACCTTAAATATCATCTGGTTCCAACCCCCCCGTCGTGGGCAGAGACACCTTCCACTAAATGAGGTTGCTACCAGCCCCATCCATCCCGGCCTTGAACACTTCCAAGGATGAGGCACCCAAAATTTGTCTGGGCCTCTCTGGTTGTGGGTACTTGTGACTGCTGTTAGCAGTCTTGGAGCCATGGTGCAGGATGAACTCTCTAGAACACCATCTGTTTATGCACTTGGTGCTTGACTTCTCACTTAGATAAATTAAGTGCTCTGCATGCCTGGGAACAGCCTACAGCCAGGGCTGCGTAAGAACATGTTTAATTACAGACAGTACAAACCACTGTAACACCAAACCATCCCATCAGAGCCATGCTGCAGACAGCGAGCCTCCTTCAGCATGACCAGCACACTGATAGTGGGCACAGCTGCCAAGACACATGGTGTGACAAGCTGCTCACCACCAGCCCACGCTCTTGCCTCTCCTACTAACTTATTGTCAGAGGCAGCAGCAATCACAGCTATCCATGACAGAGTCCCTGCAGAGGCAGAGTCACAGCCACTCATCAAGCTGTGGTGGGTGGTTCCTCTGCACTTAAATGCAGGGCTTGCCTCTTCTCCCTTAAGAAAAGCTCTCAAGAGCTCAGAGCAGCTGAGGAAGCAGGCAAACCCTGCTGCTCAACAAGATCCCACACAATCAGAGATTGGAAAGACACATGGAGCACATGCTGAATGCCCCTGAGCATCACAGAAGAGAGGCAGTGTGATGAATGGAGCTGCCTTCACCCTTGGATCTGCAAACAGCAGGGGAATTCTTGCAGGATGCAAATGGGAGCTTCCTGCCACGCAGCTGTACTGCAGTCTCATGGCACTGTTCAGATTTGGCTGAACTCCTCAAGAAGAGCATATGGGCACAGTGGCTGGAAAACTCTACTAACCACTCCACTTGGATAGCCAGGCTGAGCTGCTCCCATCTTGTAGGAAAACCAGTCCTAATTCTGCTTCTGGAAGTTCCTCTATTCTCTTCCCCTACCTGCTGGCTGTGGGTCAGTGACCGCAAATGCTGCCCAGGGCTCTGACATGAAGCCAAGCTGGAGAACACTAAGCATCAACCCCAGGAAGGCTGTGACCCATTGGAGGGTTGTAGAAGCCTGCTGGGAGAGCACAGGGTCACTCACTTCCTGGTGATGGCACTCAGCACCTGCAGCTGCAACTCCCGGTCTTCGTTTATGCCCACATAGACCAGCTTGTCAAACCTGTCAGACAAGAGAGGACAATCAAAAACAGGCCAAGGCAAACCTGCCTTGTGTTCAGCCCAGTGCACCAGCAACTGAAGGGTGGCCCCAAGACAGTCCTTTTGCTGCCAAGTTCATGGATGATACAAAGCCTGGGGAGAAGCAGTCAACATGCTGGAGAGCAGGGCTGCTCTCCAGAAGGACGGGCAGGCTGGAGAAATGGGCTGACAGGAACCTCGTAGGGTCCAACAACAGCTGATACACAGTTCTGCCCCAAGATTGGCAAGACACAGGCTTGAAGACCACCTGGGGGGCGATTCTGCAGAACAGGCCAAGGGGACCAATTCCTCCACCAGTCTGGTGTCACAGCAGGTCCCTTATTGCCCTGCTGTGCTGTTAGGGCAGTAAACCAGAGTGGTGGGGAGAACAGGCTGTGGTATCTTGTGCTGCTGCTACAGCCACAGGCACTGACCTCCTCTTGGCTTCCTATCTCCCTCATAAGCCAGGGCCAGGGACCTTTAGGAACAATCTCTGGAGAAGGAGCATGGTGGGGACACAGTCCATCCAGCTCATCCCTGCCTGAAGAGCTCTGGGAAACTACCCTGGAGCAAGGCTGGGTAGGATGTGACATACCTGCCTGGCCGGAGCAGAGCTGGGTCCAGGAGGTCAGGCCTGTTCGTGGCTCCAATGACAAACACATCTCTGGTGGAGTGAAGGCCATCAAGCTCTGCCAGGAGCTGTGAGACAACTCTGCAGGGAGCAAGACAGGATGCTCACAACTAGGCCTTGGCAAGTCACCCACTGTCTCCCTCAGCCACCAAGGCAAAGAGGAAGAAGCGAGTCCACTGGCAGGTCCATTTCTTGGACTTCAGCTTCTATTTCTCCTCCCTAAAGAGCCCTGACAAAGCTATCCAGAATTCTCTGACAGCAAGCATGTGGGTTCATTGCGTAGTGAGTCCAAACCCCTGGTACCCAGACAGTCCTTCAGGTCTGTGCTCAGCTCTGAACCCTTTCAGTATGGCCACACAAGCTTATACTTGCTATCTAATAGCATTGGCAACACAGACCAAACACAGACAGGCTTGTATGGTTGTGGCTAAAGTTTCCCACTCATATGTGCTGGCCAGTTCTAGCTGTCCTTGCAATGTGGTACTGCCTAGCAAGTCCAGCTGCCCAGCAGTCCATGCCAGGGACAGGCTGGCAGGCCAGCCATGCTGCCAAACAGTCACTGAATCACTGAATGGCTTGGGTTGGAAGGGACCCTAAAGATCAACTAGTTCCAATCCCCCCACCACGGGCAGGGACACCTTGCACTAGACCAGGTTGCTCAGGGCCCCATCCAACCTGGCTTTGAACACTTCCAATCCTCAGGTCAGTGAACACCACATGTTGCAGATCTAGTTCTGCAGCCACGGGGCTTAAACTGGTCTGGCAAACACGGTATTCCAGTGCTACAAAGGCCTCCTGGCACAGGGATATCTCCACCAGGTTCTGGGATCAATGAGCACCACACCCAGTCCATTCCAGAGCTGGTCATATTTGTGTGTGAAGCTGGATGCCAGGAGCACATGATGTCACTGGAAAATTCTGCAGAACCCCCCACGGACAAAGAGAAAGACTGGATGGGGACTACCAGCTCACCAGAAGAGGCTTGGGGGAAATAACCCTATTTCTGGCTATCTCTAAGCTGTATATACTTTGCTTCTACCAGAAGTAGCTGAAAGGTTTCCCACTGCACTGAAACAGGAGTTAATAGGAGGAGAGCACAGCAGGGGTGTGAAGGATGACCCTGGAGAGACCAAAGGGAGCACTTGGCAGCCACAAAAGCAGATGGAGGAGACTGTCTTAACCAAATGTTTGCACAACAAGATTGGGCAATTGGGAACCTAAAGCAATGCAAACAGCAGTACTAATGTTCAGAGAGAGGAAACAGGCCGTGCTCCCTTAAGGGAGCTGGGAGGGGAAAAAGTAGAGAAAGAGAGGTGGGATGGACTCTGCCTTGCAGAGCAATCTTATGCATCCCCCGCAGCTGAGACAGGTATGCTGCTCTCCCAAGGACACGTGATGCTCACTTACCTATCCATGACACCCCCTGAATCTCCGCTTCGCCCACGACTTGGGGCCAGGGAATCCAGTTCATCAAAGAAGATAATACAGGGAGCAGCTGCCCTGGCTCTGGCAAACACTGGAAGGAGACAGCACAAAAGGTGAAAAAGACCTGGAGGAGCAGTCAACAGCAACAGGACCTGCTACTCTCCCAGCAGGGAAGAGTTGTGGATGGAAACCTGATGCCCACTCTATCACCACCACCAACTGCTTCTGCCTGAGTGGCTCAGTAGAGCGGGGACAGGCAGCATCCAGAAGGATGGGCCCCGAGGCTCAGCTGTGTCTCTGAGAGGCTTCTGTCCTGTTGGGAACACCAGGGACAAGAGCAACAGGAGCAGAGAGCAGGAGAGCAAACAGCAGCGAGGCAGGGAATGGACCGGGTGTAGGAGACAGTTGGGTACATGCCCTTGCTGAGAGCTGTGGGTGGGAGTTGAGAAAAGGGGTTTAAGCACTATGTCCTTCCCTTCAGCACTACAGAAAAGCCCAGTCTTCCCACATGCAGAAGCAGAATGCATATCCTTACCATTGCGCACATTCTCTTCGCTTTGCCCGACATACATGTTGATGAGCTCTGGCCCTTTCACGCTGTGGGGCAGAGAGAAGAGGGAGCCAGTTAGAGGATGCCCATCCCCTGCCAGGAAAAGTCAGTCCTATTGTGTGACCCCCCTCGCTCTTCACCTAAGGAATGTCATGGTGCATGTTGTTGCCACAGCTTTTGCCAGCAAGGTCTTCCCTGTCCCTGGAGGCCCATACAGCAGCAGACCAGAGCGGCACAGACCCAGCGACAGCAGCTCTGGGTGCTCCAAAGGCAACTGGATAGTGTCCAGTATCTCCTTCTTCACCTCTTGTAGCCCACCAACATCCTGCCAGGACACCGAGGGGATCTGCCAAGAGAGGGAGAATCCTTGTCAGCACCTCTTCCTGAGCCCCGAGCATGCCTGGGCAGCTCTTGCTCCAGTATCCAGTATCCACATTTCTCCACTTCCGAGCTTTGCAATAAGGAAAACAAACTGCACACATGCCCAGCTGCACTCACAGTGTGCACCTCATCTCCAATCACACCTCATATCATCTGTCAGCAAAAATACCCTAGGGAAAGTATCCAGCAGGGTTGCCTGCAGCTTTGTGGGGGACAGTCCTGCTGCAGACAGCCCTTATGATGCATGAGGGAAGGTAAAAATCAAGAAAAAACAAAAAATTAAAAAAAAAAAAAGAAACCTGGACCTAGCAATTATGAGCTACTTGTGTTCAGGGCATCTTGCCCACCAAGGTAATGAGACTGTGCAAGGGCTTCACACCTTCCAGAGCGGCAGAATCTGGGCTGCCAGGACCTCTGTGATGTAAATGAGGATGTGAGAGACAGGCATCCTGTAGGACAGTGTACAGAACACTCGCTGCTTTGGAAAGGGGAGATGCAAGAGCAAAGTCCATGTATGCTGACAAGAAATAGATAGGGATAGGGTCAGCTGCAGACACGCAAGGGTCATGGCAAACAGAAGAAAGACAGCAAACCTGAGACGGGTAAGCCATGCCACTTTGGTTATTTTGTGCTGAGCAAAACAATCCTGGAGGATATTGCTGCTCTGCTCATGGCTTTAGAAATAGCTGGAATGCCACAGTCTGCATGACACATCCTCCTGAGAGGCAGAGCAGCTCTCCTGGGAACATGCAGAGAAAGCAAAGCCCCAGAACACCTCCTGCCAGCTGCTGGCTGGGTGGGGAACAGCTGCCAGCGCAAATGGGGAGTTTAAAAATAGGCTAGGGCAAAATTCTTTCCCCCTCAGCCAGTTTGGATCTCCATCCTTTGCTACTTGAGATTATGTTATCTCATGCTATTTCTCTAGCTGTCCAACAAATCCACCAGGAAAATCAGGTTAAACAAAACAAAGATTTCCAGAAAAGAAACCTTTTAAAGCAAAAGGTCACAGGCACTCCTTCTGCAGTGCCAATGAATGGAAGAGCTGCCCCCTCCTCTGCATTCTTTCTTATACTGCCTCGCTAGAAAGAGCTCTACAGACATCAGCACAGGAGCTGGAAAACTGGAGCAAGGTTGTTTTCAAGGGAGCATGCTGTAAGTCTAGGACATGTTGCAGACACTGCTAGCAACTGGAGGTTTGGAATTAGTGTCCTCTAGAAGGCTCAAGCTTTAACTGCAAACAAATATGTGAATAATCAGGAAATGCAAGCAGGGAACTGAAGGCAATGTATGTTGAGAGTATCCAGGTCTGATAATGGGCTTTCTGAAATGCAACCAATTATTAAGAAATCGATAAAGGAATGTAAAATACAAACAAAATTAGCTCCCATTCACACAGCTCACTGCTGTGTGAATTATGGTTATTTGCCTCACAGTGAACTTGGCAAACATGTCTAATCAGAGCTCACTTCAGTTTCTAGTAAATTTATGCTGGAGTAGCTCCTGGACAATGACATCAGGAAGGTGTTTTCTTGTTAGGGCAGACTGCAAGTGGGCAGTTGGGGAAGATGTCACAATAATTGCTCCAAGGCCAAGGTTTCCTGTCCTGTGCAGAGCTCAGTTGTTTGTACTCATGGGTGTGGAAAAGAGGTTCTGATCACTTTTCTTGGTCCTAATACCACATTACCCAGCAAAAACTGACACCCCAAATGCTGTTTCTCTGGGTGCCAAGCTGCCAGAAGTGGATCACACCCCTCCTGAGAAAGCTGACTCTGCTGGTTTTCTCAGATTCTCCGTGTCGCTTTACCTGAAGAACTCCCAAACTCTTCAAACTGCTTGGCTGTCAGAAAAGCCCATGCCAGTCCAAGCAACATCCAAGGCCAGGGATCAAGCCTAAGGCTTTTCACATGTGGAAAAACTCTCTCACCAGCCTGTGCCACAGCCTCTCAGTTCCCAGAGGCCAGGTGACTGGGGAGACCTCAGCAAGGCAGCCGGCCTGCAGCTGCCTTTGCCTCTTGCAAGGCTGAGCTGCACAGCTAGAACCCCTACGGCACCAGCCAACTGAGTGGTCTGCAATTAGTATGGCAAGGCCTTCCCTGCCAAATTCAAAGCCAAGAGCCAAAAGCACTAGTGGGGGAAAGCCCAGAGGGGACTGTTTCCCATTCAAAGCTGGGGGAATACATGGAAGGACACAGCAGGAAGCAACATACCAGCACACAGCCACCTTGAGCCAACAGCTTCTGCAGAACCAACCCACTTCCTGTGCCCCCAGCATCCTACCTTTGGGGCTCCCACTGCCTGTGAATGGGTGTCATGCAGCTGGTCCAGCGCAACACTAAAATCCTCCTCAAGCACTGGGAACCCAGCAGTGCAAAAATCTCTCTCCACTTCTTCACTCAGTCCGCCTGGAAAACTGGGGAAAGAAAAGGGAAGGACTCAGGCTCTGCCCCACTCCTGGCATTTTCGGGCTGGTTGCAGCCCCTGCCCTCCCCCACCTCCTCCCTCTTGTCTGTGCTACCTCAAGGCTTGGATGCGGGTACAAGCAGCTCGGCTGCTGTGGGACAACAAGGCACAGAAATCTCCCAGCACAAAGCCCTGTGAATGCAGAAACAAAGACCATCAGTTCAGCCACTGCTGAACCACAGCTCCATCTAGGCCATAAAAGGTGTATGGGGAAAAATTCTTTGCAGAGATGTTCTTTGAACCTCTGTACCCTGGTTAAAGGCTCTAGCTTCTTTTTTTTTCTATTAGCTCTGTCTTGTAGCCGAGCTGAACATCAGACAGCACCCCTGCAAATGGTGTGGAGCCCTTAGGCTCTAGAAATCTGCACTTAAAGCTGATGTCTGAGGACCAGGATTAACCACTGAAAAAGTTGACTGGGCTGTGGGAATTAGCCCCTTTCTCCAAGGCCAGGTGTGGGAGATGGGCCCAGCACTCCCAGCCTGCCCATCTCCACATGCTGCTGTGGTTTCACTCACGGCAGTCCTACGGGCCAGCTTGGATAGGCTCACTTCTTTGCCCAGAGACAGACTAGCAGTCAGCATGCTCAGCATCAACCTCCTCTGCTCTTCTGAAGGGGCTTCAATTTTCACCTCGTGAAGGAAAGCACTCTGCAAGTCTGTAGGAACATCCTGGGGCTTGCAGGTTGTGCCAATCACCAGGACAGGATGGCTGTTGAGAAAAGGGGGACAGTGTATGGTCTCAGCTCTGTGGAAGCTTCCCTGTTACACTGCCATCACGTATGCCAACTCACTGTCCAATGGCTAGGCCTTTTTCCAAGAAATACACACATACTGGCTGAAGTGTCTTGCAGCCACTCTCTTCCAGCTTGCCCTCGAACTGCTTTGTGAGCTCTGTCTCCAAGTTAAGGCCCTTCAAGTGACATCTTATATTTTCACTTGATGTCTGCCACCCTGCTACTTGTCATCAGCCTCAAGATTCTCCTGGAATCCAGCTCCCTTCTGGGGTCCCTGATACCCTTGGCATGTCTCACAGCAAACACGCCTGGTTTGCTCATCTGAACAACTCAGGAACCAGCTTCAGACAACAAAGCTTCCTGACTGCCTCTGCCATTAAGCTGGAAAAACAAGGGACTTCTGAAGTAAACAAAACGAGTCTGGGAAAGACTCCACTGGATTAAAAATAAAATGGGATACGTTAGCAATCAGTTACCTTGAGGTAACACTGACTGCTGCCCTAGGAATGGCAGAAGTAAACAACTACCTCAGATGCCCACAGCAAACATGCAGGGTCCATACCTCAGTGCTGGGTCTCTGTCCAGGAGCAGCTGCCTCAGAGTAGCAATGACCCTGGCATCCTCCCTCAGCCCATCTCGGTCTCTGCCAAGCACTTCGATGTCTTTCAGCAGGAGCACACACGGATGGTACTGCTGGGCCTGGGTGAAGGCCATCTGTACTTTCTCTTCTGTGGCTGCACTGGTATCACTGCACAAACTAACGCAATCAACCTGGGAGAGAGACCACACAACACAGCCTGCAGAAGTTGCAACATGGACAGCTGGAGGACCAAGGACAATGTTCACTGCCACAAAGCCTTCCATGGGCAATTCACAGGTCAAAGGAGATCTAAGTGGATATTTCCCAGAGAGACATTCAGGTCATATTGAAAATAGACACATTCAGGACTCTCTGGCATGGATAAATGGCTGTTTCTTGCTTCTCTGCAAGAGGTGGGGTGGACAGGAGAGTCTTATCTGAAAAAGGTGAGGCAAAGGGATCAGAGAAATCAATATGGTGGATGTCACGGCTCAGCAACCTTAGCTGGAAGGGATGGGAGAGCTGTGGAAGACAGGTGTCTTGGAGGAACAGTGCAAAGAGTAGAGAAAGAGACTCAGGAAACTGTTCAACATGTGATGCACAGGCTCAAAGTGCAAGAGGAAGGTAGAAGGTGAGGGTATGTGTCGGGGGGAAGTTATAGGTGGCTGGAAGCCCAGACACTGTTTACAAAGCAAACACTTCATAAAGTCATGCAAATGGAGAGGTGACTGGTGAGCCTTGAACAGCAGCCTGAACACTGCTGGAAACAGGCAGTGCTGCCTCCTGGTGCTGCAAGGTTGTGCAGGGAGAGCCAAACCATCTCTGGGATTCCCTGAGCCACATCCCCAAAAAGGATGCTTGGAGCAGGGAGAATAGCTCAAGAGCAGACATAAAGGTAAGGACAGGGACATAGAGCAGAGGAACTCCTGTGCTCCACATACTATAGAAAAAACCCAGGAGTTAGGGTCGTGGCAGGCCATATGGCAGCAGTATCTCTATGCAAGTACAGAAAGGCAGAGAGAAAGGACAAAAAACTGTTGATCAACAAGTGGTAGAGATTAGAGTGGGGAAGAATTACTGTGTCCTGGTAGGACAGCAGATCGAACAGTCAGAGAAAGGGAAGAGCAGGCAGAATGGTAGCATGAGCATTGCAGTCAGTGAGAAGGGGAGGGGAGAATGTAAAAGCTGGGATAGGAGAATAAAATGGACAGCAAATACCTCTAGCTTCAATAGTAAGTGTATTAGTCTTTAAAAGCAGCACACAAGGCCAAAACCAGAGTTGTTGCCTTGCACACACATCCCACTAGAACCTGAGGCCATCTGACAGGACAGGGCAGTGACAGAGTGCTCCCAAACACATCCTACACATGGATCTGAAGGTACTATGAGATCTCTGCAATCTTGTACTGGATCCCAAGAGCTATGGCACATCTGCAGAAAAGTCAGAGCTCAGGATCATGTCCAGATGAGCTGCACAGCAGCAGGCCAAGGTTGTATCCACCTCCTCCACTGACCAACTGTTACAGCTTTACTTGGATAGAAAAGAACAGGAAAAGAGTAATGTCAACGGGACCTAACTTCTAAATAGAAGAAGAAAACCCAAAAATTCAAAGTGCTTAGCTTGTTTTCTATGAGTTTACTCGAAAAATAGCCACCAAAAAAAAAAAAAGGAGCAAGCCTACAATTTCCTTCCACAAAAAAAAGCAACCTTCCAGCTCTATTCTTTCCATCTGTCCTCCTCTTCCACATAATTTCAGAAACTCTCCTAGAAAAGTCACCATGTGACTTCCAATCCTCTTACTTTTGCAAACATAACTCTACAGATTCAAGGAAATTAAAGCATTTGTGAGATATCCCCAGACTGTCAGAGTGAACAAAAGAGGCGTGCAGAAGGAAAATACCATTTTTAACACGTCTTGGTTCCCAGAACTTCCAGTGCTGGACAGAGACAGGTGCTAGACTTCATTTTGGCCATGGAGCTTACCCAGTACAGCCACAGCTGTAAGAACATGGGAAGGGCCGTACTGGTTCAGACCAAGAGTCCATTTAGCCCACTATTTTGTCTCCAAGCATCACCACATGGGGCTGCTTAGGAGTAAGATCACATATAATCCTCTCCCCTAAGTAGTCTTCCAGGCACCTACCATTCCCTTCAAAAGGGATTTTCCCAGCCAGATGTGGTTTTGTAACAGTAGATTTCTCCTCCAATTACTCTTACCTATACAAAGAACTATCTCCTTTAGCTTGCCTGTACCCATTAACTTCATCTGACAGCCCCAGGTCTCATGCTAGCAGAGAGAAAAGTGAAAACTTTCCACTCTCTGCTGACTGCTCAAGATCTTGTAAAAAACCTCTTTCAAAAAGATCTTGTAGAAGCCTCTATCAAACTCTCCCTAAATTCTTTATTTTTCAAGCTGAAGGGCTTATTCAGCTTTTCACCACACAGAAACTGGTGTAGACCCCTGATCTTCCACAGTGTCTTTCTCTGAATTTTTCCAGTTCAGTTTTATGCTTTTGTGAATGGGGACATCAGAACTGTGCATGATACTCAAGCTGTGGCAAGACATGGATCTGCACAGCAACAGCACCTACTCTCAAGTTTGTTTCCTAAAATGTGATCTGATTTTTGACATATATGGAGAGGAGAGCACAAGTTTTCATTAAGCCATTGACATAAACCCAAATTCTTGATATTGACAGTCAACTTGAAATATATAATTTTCTATATAAAACCAATTACAGGGAATTTTACCTGCCACTTCACTGCTCAGTCACTTTGTCTCATTAAAGTTCTCCTCTAGTACAAGAACAGTCTATCTTCCTTTTCTCTTATCTTTAATAACTTGTTAATAACTTAGTTACCAACAAACCATCACATCACTGTTCACCCCCTTTCCCAAGCCACTTCTGACCTCTCAGTGTAGATGCCTGCAGAGCTCTGCTTCTGATTGTGAAGGCTCACCAAATACTCCCATCCTGCTCCCAACCTTTAACAGCACTCAGATCTCTCCACTCCTCAATTTCCCAAAGAGCATTTTCAAAACCCAGGTAGACTGTGTTGGTCAAGTTACTTTCTGAAGGTTTACAGAATAGGCAGCAAAAACTTGTTGCAAAAACTACATATACTCTTCTCAAGTAGTGAAGTCATCCCAGAGTGTGCTAATTTGATCCTTCAATCTAACCAGCTACAGCTTTGTGCCCCTTGAAGAATGCTTCTTGTTTTCAGCAACTGCCCTTTCCCTGCTGTTCATCTGTTTTGTCTTCCATTCATTTTTCTCATGGCCCTCTCAATACAATCTGTGCAGTGGCCTCGTGTTGTGGCACAGTGTCCCTCATGTACCTCCACAGCAGAGGCAACATTTCCTTATCTTGTCTGATTCTTTCTTTCTAAAGAAACCTCATTTTGATGTCATTCCCCTTTCAGAACCAAGCACTGCTATGGAAAATTTGGGGGCTTTTTTGCTCTTGGCAGGGGTGGGGGGAGGGTGGTCAGTGTGAACACAGTTACAGGGCAGCTCATGTACAGGCTGAAAGATTTTGAACCAGGTCTGGCATACATGCTGAAGTGAAACCAAGGGCTGCTTTTACCAATGGCTGCTTTTTTTTTCTAGCCTTCCCACCCAGATAAAAAAGATCTCAGCATCATCTGTGCCTCACTTTCCAACGTGCATTTCGCCCAATCTATGCAGGGACAATTGAAAACAAACACCCAATGCCACTGCAATTCCTGCTCTCATCACATCTCCAATTCAACTCCAATTCTCCAATCTCAGTATATTTTAGTTCCTGCCACCCGCTAGGGTACAGTTTCAACTCAATGCCCTGTCAAATGACAGGATATCAGTCTGCTGAAACACAACTGCATATGGCAGTACTTGTAAAGTACATCAGCCTGACAGCAACAACAGCAACAGTCAGTGAAGAAAGGTACAAATGCATGCCCTGGACAAAAAAAATCTCTAAATTACTGATTCTGGAGCACTGCAGGATACACTCCAGAGGAAACATCTCTTTGTGCTTATGCTCAAGCTGCAAAGCTCAGCATACTCAGACTCCTTTTGTCTGTGTGTACACATGAAAGCAGCTCCTGGGTAGGCTCGTGCCATGGCTGCAGCAAGGGTGTTGGTATGTCTGACTTAAAGAACATTTCCATAACTCTCTGCATGTTGTAAATCCAGCCATCAACTGGCCACAGGAGGAATTACCTTGAAGATGTGGAGGTTGAGGCAGCTACACACAGCTCTGACAGCCATAAGTTTCCCGCTGCCGCTTGGCCCCGAGAGGAGAACGCTGGTGCTGCTGCTCAGAGCACTTACCCTGCAACAGACAGGGAGTTTTCCCAGTGGCCAGGGAACAGAGTCCCACCTCTTCCAGGGCTCATTAGAAGAAATTCTAACTCACCGACTGTTTAGGTGAGGACGAAGAGCATCACAGAGCTGCTTCACAACATCAGAAAGTCCAGCAGGAGACAAACTGCTCCAAAACTCATGGCTGCTATAGGCTGGGGCAGATGGGACAGCGCTGTTTGTTGAACCCACCTGTGAGAAAGGAAAAATAGCACTCTGTGGAACATCACCCAAGTAAAGACAGGTACCAAGCGACAAAGTCTGTCCTGAAATGCCATTTTTCAATGGCAGGAGACATAAGCCTCCCCAGGTACATTCATCATCCATAGTGCAGTCTCAGCCGCCTCATTTCCTGTACACCCTCCCTGCTCTCTACTAACATCTTACCAGATAAAGAGAAGTGTTCTGGGTGTCCACCAGGTAACCCTCAGACTGCTCGCCTTCCACCATGCCTAAAATCTTCTTCACTTTGAAATAAAGCTCTGGCCACCTAAGGGAAAAAACAAGCAGTCTAAATTGCTGAGTGAAGATCCTGAAGGCAAGAACAGTACAGTTGTCAAGAAGAAGACAGTTGAAAAGAATAGGTAAGCAGAGATACTCTGCCCTTCTCACAGAACCCACAAGGATACCTTATGGATCCTACTGGATCTGGCCAGACAGACCAACAGTACTGTCAACAAATACAGCTTCTGCTGGTGGCTTCAGTGCACAAGTACAGCTGTACTAATCTTATTGCATCTACCTAAGAGCTCAAGATATTCTCTTTTCTGCCATCACTTTCTTCATCACAACTCCACAGATTCATCTGCAGCGTATAAAATCTTACAGCTATGAAAGTCTTCTCTGCAGGCCACAGTCTAGGACTCATCCAAATACCGTGACAGCCTTACAAGCATCCTGCCCTGGACTGGAACTGAGTAGTATTGCTACATGACTCTGGTACATCCTGCATGAAGGGTCCAAGGCAATTCCTTGCACTGCACGCCTCAGTTAACTGTGCTAGTTCCCTCAGGGACACAGCTGAAGCATTTACATTAACATCGGCCAAATGTCACTTCGAGCACCTCTACTCTGATGCAAAGGTGACCTTCTCCCATTTAGCACAGAACCATTTCAAAGCCATATAAGCAAAACCAAGAAAGGCAGAACTGGTGGCAAACAGAAAGTTATTCTAACGTGAACTCTAAGGGCTTATATTCACATTTTGATGTTTGCCCGGCTTCCACTTAGCTTTCTTTTATGTGGCACTGACTGTCCTCAGGCCACCCCTTCCTCTTCACTCTTTATCCCCATCAGTTTCTCTACCTATTTTTCTCCTTTCTTCCCTTCATGACTATTTGAGTGAGCTAACAGAGGCTTCCCTCTTAGCTGCAGCCCTCCATAATACAACAAAAACACTTCCCTCTTCTCTGTAAATTAAGAGACAGATAAACACTAAACTCTAGGGACAGATCAGAATGGAATAAACTGTCTCAAGAGAGTCAATAGTGGAAAAGTATCTTTGCTCTTCTGGTACCATGTAGTAGAGCCACAGTTTGTTGACACCTACCTTAGGAACTTGTCTGCATTTGCTTCTATAAATTCAGTATTTCCAAATGTTGGAACACACAGGATGTCTCCCTCCTGGGCCAGCCTACAAAAAACCCCAGAGTTTCACTGGTGAAAGAGAGTAAATCCTTCTGGTTGTGTGTCTTCCCTGTCCTGTATCACACGTGTTTTTACAGAAAAGAATGTACCAGTTGATACCTACTCTCTCCTTGCCTGTAAATAAAGCTATCAATAGCCACTGAAAGATTTGGCATACACTGGATGAGAGCAGGCACACCCAGACTACTAAGGGGAGCCTTCTGGGAATGGTATAGAAGATGAACATCCTTAGAGTGTCTCATCCAGACAAAACATCCTCCTTATCCATGGAACAGCTGGGTATAATTCCAACAGATAGCCCTGACAGCCAAACAGATGATACTCGTGTGCAGGTGTCAGGAGAGAAGATGGCAACATATCCAGCTTCCTGACTACTCCATTCAAAGCTGAGAACCGAGATTACAAACATGGCCCAGAATGGAGGTTTGTGGGCAGCACTTGCAAGCCCTTGGACTGGATGGCAGATCACGAGGATACTTGAAGACGACTTCCGAAGGACAGGACAAGAGGTGTTGCATGCAAGTGGAACACACTCATTAGAAGACAGTTCAAGGTGATATCCTAAAACTACACAGCACCTGCACTGAGGATGCTGATGATGCACATCATCAGTGTGTGTCAGATCTGGGTGCCAAAAACACACAGCAAGAGTGTATCTCATGAGTATGCCGACAAGTAGACACACGTGTCCACCCCACAGAGCTCACCGGGGCATTTCGAAGTGCCTGTAGAGCACGCGGCTGTAGCCTCCCTGGGCGCAGTAGGCCGGCGAGCAGATGATCTCTAGGTGCAGCTCTTTGGCGAAAGGAGGCACGGAAAGCACAGACCGGCTGCCCTTCCCATCCGCCGCGCCGGTCCTTTCGTACCTCTGCAGAGGGGACGGGCCGAAGCGTGAGCCCCCGCTGCCGCCGGCCCGCTCCCCGGGGTGCCCGGCCCCGGCTCACCTGCAGGCGGAGGTGGGCGGCAGCAGCGGGGTCGCAGCCCAGGTTGAAGGCCAGGGCGGGGTCCAGCAGCGCGGCGCCGTCGGCCGGGCAGCGGCGGGCGGCCCGCGGGTACTCCCATGGCGGCGGTCGGGCCAGCAGCGCCGCCAGGTGCTCGCGGGCCGCCCCCTCGGCGCCCACCCGCACCCACTCGCCCTGGAACAGCCCCAGCGCCAGCAGCCCGCGCCGGCTC